TGAAAAATACCACTGTCAAGTAGTTGCTTTCTCAGTAGAACTTGCATGATCATTAAGAACATTGCTTCATGAGGGTAGTGGTTAAAGGATGATGAAGATTTTTACATCAGGTGATTTTAAGGGATGCCTTCATTCAAAGTTAGGTGAGGCGCTCATTAGAATGATATACCTGCTGAGAAAGCTGAAGTGTTTGGGTAGCTAGGTTTTTTACTCCCATTTTCCCAGATTCTGTAAACATCATTTTTGCATTTTCACTTGCATCTAGTACTACCACTTCCCAGCATACTTTGATAACTTTTTACTATTCTCAAGTTTATAGGCTGTAAGACACTGGTTGCATGTTAGGATACTGATCTAAATGATGCTGTGGTTTTCTGTGTGTTAACGGGCACTTCAGAATAGGCAACTTTATGTTTTACGGCCAACTATGAATTATTTCATTCATCTGTGTTCACCCAGAAAACATATTAAGACATATTTTGAGACTACCAAAAGCTAGGTGCACATGCTAAAAAGGTGAATAATGTGTAGGAGCCAGCAGTCTGGTGAGGGTGACTAGCTCCTGAACACAGATGAACCAGTCATGTAGGATGTGGTGGGAACACTTTTTTGTTTTTAGTTATAATCTTATGCTGTATAGAAATAGTGATTGTCCCTAACCATTTTATTCCGAAATTCTCCTACCTCCCCTGTCCCTGCATGAGTTCACATCTCTGTAACTGATTGTTACAGTCAGCAAGGCTCTCCCGTCTGCAGTTACTTCACAGGCATGCTGCAGTTGAGGCTTGCAGTGATGACCGATGTTTGGCACATAAAGAGGGCAATACCTTATATTGTTTAGCTTCTTTCTTATTTCTGTTTGTAACTCACTCAAGGTCACACACCCAGTGAGAGGCAGGATGGAGTCCCCAAACTCCCCACTTAGGACTTTTCTCATGGCATCATCTTGCCTTATGAGTAACTCAGGGAGGACTAGGGATGCTTTTCCAGATCCCGTATGCAGTTTTGGAAAGGTTTCAAGGGGACGGCTAATCTCATCCATGTTATATATGATTGATACTTACAAAAACTTGGTGCCTTTCTGCCTTGAATGTTTTGGTATGGTCTTTATATGTTTTGGTATGGTCTTGTCGTAGACTGTGGGGGTGACCTTGCTTTTGGGACTTGCTAATGTTTCCATCTTGGCATCCCTGCAGATTTGGAGCATTGAAGAATGTGTCTTAAAAACCTTAATATGAGGGCCGGCCTGTGGCTCACTTGGGAGAGTGTGGTGCCGATAACACCAAGGCCACGGGTTCGGATCCTATATAGGGATGGCCGGTTAGCTCACTGGCGTGGTGCTGAAAACACAAAACCAAGAGTTAAGATCCCCTTACTGGTCATCTTTAAAACAAACAAACAAACAAAAAACCTTAATATGGAAATGTTCAGACATACACAAAAAAGTAGATAGAATAACACAGTGATCCCCTATGTGTCTGTCAACCAGCTTTTCATTGTCTATTTTCTGCAGACAAGTTTTAGTGTTTTGAAATGGTGATGGGGGCCGGCCCGTGGCTCACTTGGGAGAGTGCGGTGCTGATAACACCAAGGACCTGGGTTCGGATCCCATATGGGGATGGCCGGTTGGCTCACTGGGTGAGCGTGGTGCTGGCAACACCAAGTCAAGGGTTAAGATCCCCTTACCGGTCATCTTTAAAAAAAAAAAAAAAGAAATTGTGATGGAAATTTTATACTTATGCATAGTAAGCCTGTTCATGTGTATAAGTTAGCTATCTCAATGGCATATAGGAATAAGCATTTATGATCCTGCTCACAGGTCTGTGGGTCAGCTGGGATAATTCTGTTGTGTGTGTTTCACTCTATTGTGATCAGTGGGCTACCTGGGGCATGCTCTTCACATGGCCATGGCAGGGTGCAAAGGGGCCATCGGAAATATGAGGGGCCTCTTTGGGTGTAGTCTTGGAACTGGCACTCTGACACTTACACCTGCCTTTCATTGGGTAAGGCAGACTTGATGGTCAAGCCCCAAATCAGTGGGGTGAGGAAGAATATTCTTATTGAAGTGTGTAGGAAGCATAATGTGCCTCAACAGGCAAACCAAAACACTGGCCTTTTTCTTTAGTTTGGAGTGATATCAACTCAGTGTGATAATACTGTATTTACCATTATTATGGTACGTTATCATCCCTTAGGTATTTAACTGTCTCTTGTCTACACTTCCCTAATCCAGAGAGCTTAGCATAATGCTTAACTCATACAGTGTATGTCCAGTGAATACTGTTTGAGTGAATGAGTAAAGTAATTGGGCTAGGCGGATAGAAGTTAATTTGCTTTCGTTAAAGCCAGAATCTCATAACTTGAATAATGGAAAAACTTGGCCAGTTAGTGAGGATTGTGACTGAGTTGCAGATTAGTTCTGGGACTCTGTAGTTAAATTGTGGGACTAAAAATCCTAAACATACTAGCAAGTTGGACTGACATTTACAAGTAATCATAAACTGTATTAGTCCGTTTAGGTTGCTTGTAACAAAATACCTGAAACTGGGTGATTTATAAAGAAAAACGACATTTATTGCGTACAGCTTCTGAAACTGGGAAGACCAAAGTCCATTTGCTGGTGGTGACAGTTACCCAGGGGTCTCACATTGTAAGATGGTGGAAGCAAAGAGAACAGAGAGAGAGAGAAAGACAGACTCTTCTTTTAAAGCCCTCAAAACCACACCCTTGACCACCATTTTTAATCCATTCACTACTGCACGGTCTTACAATCCAAACATCTCTTCAAGGCCCCACCTTTCAACTACCATAATAGGATTTCCCACCCCTGGGGTTATAGTTTAACAATATAGGCTGGTAACTTTCAGTGAAACAAGCCAGATGACATTCCAGTAAGGCAATTAAGTGATCCATTAACAAAAGCTTGATCTTAGAAAACATTCCTTCTCCTCCTAGCAATTTTCCAGTATCTTTACACATTAATCAGTAGCTAGTCTGTCCTTGAGCCAGCAACCTTGCTGTGCCACAAATCTTTATCTTACACCAGAGACTTTTTATAGGCTGAGGAAAATTTCCAGTTCTCCGCAAGGTCAATATTTGAAACTGCAAGGCTTTGGAAAACCAGGCACTGTGAAGTACATTTGCTTTAAGAATCTTCTACATCTTCACCCATTTTATTTATTTAAAAGAAAAAGCAAAACTATAGATCAGGTTGGCACAGTTAAGACAAAAGCATTTAGGGCCGACCCCATGGCGCACTTGGGAGAGTGCGGCGCTGGGAGTGCAGCAGTGCTCCTGCCGCGGGTTCGGATCCTATATAGGAATGGCTGGTGTGCTCACTGGCTGAGCGCGGTGTGGACAACACCAAGCCAAGGGTTGCGATCCCCTTACCGGTCACGAAAAAGGCCAAAAAAAAAAAAAAAAAAAGACAAAAGCATTTAAAGCAAAGTTGCTATCATTTAACATGGCAAGTCCTTTTAACTTACTTCAGGTGAGGGCTGATGATGTCATCATCTCAGGGCAGCTGCAGTGGCATCATTCCTGGTGCTGTGAATTGGGTGTAATTACCAATTGTTGAAACTCCGGAATGGGATTCTGCTCCATAAGATAGTTGATTCTGAGTCCAGAGAGTTTGTTAATGTTAAAGCTGTCCAGGACATTACTGCTTTCAGAGTGTCTAGTCTTTTGTAAGATTTTTGATCAATTACGAGTCTTTTGTTTAAGAACAGGATGTCTCATACAAGTTACAAACACCCTCTTTAAGGCCAGGAAAATTTAGAGAACTGCATTTGTAGAGAAGATGTTATTTCCCCCTTTATGGTCAAGGCATTCCTCATAAAAGAATTGATGATCAATATCTAGATTGAAAAGGTCTTTCTTTTCTTTGTATAAATCTCTTGGTGTTGGGAAGGCTCTTTCCCAGGTGATGATAGAAAGAAGCATCTCGGCTTACTTTCAGTGGTCTGTCCCACGTGCGGGGGGGAGGAGATGAACATCAGGATGCAGCAGCAGTTTAGGCCAAATTATGGCAAACATGAGGGATCAGCAACTTGGAAGTGAGACATGCTTTTGGGGCGAAGCAACAAAAAGTGACACCTACTCTCATAACAGTCACAGTGGGGGCTAAGTTTCTAATACATAAAACTTGAGGGACACAATTCAGGTTTCAGCGAGTTTTGGGGGGACATAATTCAATCCACTACATAAACCTTGTTGCTAAATATTTCTTTCTTCTGCTTTGTACACTTTAGTTCATTTTTCAGCAGAGTTCATGAGTTGGTCATTTGGAAAACAACCTGCAGTCTTTGGTAAACCCCTGCTTCCCGTCTGGTCTTGTGGTTGAGCCCTCTTGGTGCTGTGGTCTTTAGGTTCTCTTGAGTCCACCAATACCACATACCACTCCCTGGCAGACATCCCTCTGCTGTAATCATCGTTTGCTAACAAAATAATGTGAAACCTGCCTTCTCTCAACATACCTCCAAATAGGCTAAATAAATAATCATATGCTTATGTATTATATATTATACTATAAATATAATATATATTATGTATTATATATTTCTGAGAAGGAAACGTATTATGGTGGGGAAATTTTGAGTTCCTCAGTATAGATTATTCATAAAGGACACTTTTGTGAAATTGATAAATGTATTTATAAACTTGACTGGTATATTGTTATGCCTGATTATTTTCTTCTGTAAAAATTTTTTTTCCTTATTAGCAAAGGTTTATTACTGTGGACTGTCAGCTAAGACTGTAAACATTTTCTTTTTAGATATGGAACCAGAATTTATAAATTCAATTTTATCTTGGTTTTAAATCACAATCTTTTACCATTGGAACAAATATAATTAGATTGGTGTTAAATTTAAATAATAAATATATTTATTATCAATCATAGTAATAAAGAAAATATAAAGAGAAATGGAGTAAAATTTTGAAATTCATGTGAGTTGTCATGACCATTCTTGGAAAATCTCATTTTGCTTTGTGTTGTTTAGATTTGAAGACTGCATCATCCTGCCTCCAGTACCAGTACCAGTAGTTCTCTGTTCTGTGGTCAATGTGATTCACAGAAACTTCTTCAGTAACAAACGAAATGAGCCAGGGACGTGGAAAATATGACTTTTATATTGGTCTGGGATTGGCTATGAGCTCCAGCATTTTCATTGGAGGGAGTTTCATTTTGAAAAAAAAAGGCCTTCTGCGACTTGCCAGAAAAGGCTCCATGAGAGCAGGTAGGTTGTGTCCTGAGCAGCTTGAAAGGACCACAGTGTGCACTAACATACTCAGGTTCTCTATAAATACCACATTTTCATTCCTAGTGAGTATATTTGAAACTTTGAACTGTTCAAGAATACTAAATGTTTATAGTGAATTGTTTTGTAACTAGAAAATTATAAGTAAGGAGAGGTCAAAATTAACTACCTACTGCTGCAATTATTATGAAAGTGGGAAGAGGGACCAATGCCAAATTAGCATCCAGACTTTTCTTTAAATTTGACTGTGTCTGCAGAGAAGGAAATAAGCTTCCATTAATAGAATCAGTCTTCTTGAAGGCTATCTTTTGTCCGTGATAGTAGAAGTTCCAACTTGCTTTATACATTTTTCCTGATGATCTCAAATTGGCAGGAAAGAAAGAGGGCTTCCTTGGAATTAAGAGTACCCAGCTGAGTGAACTTATGAGTGGCATAGGTTGTTTCCCCAGAAACTGCTAACAAGTCACAAGACCCTGGGGGTACTTAATGTGAGTGAGCCCCTCTCTGACTCCTCTGGGTGGGGTGTTAATGAGAGCTCCCAGCATTATGTGGCATTATGGTTACGTTCTGTCATTCTGCCTCTGCTTCAGAGTAGACCTGCTTTGGCAGTAAAATATATCACCTTCTCTCTTTTTCCTGTGCCGTCTCTGTGGCCAAACCTAATTCAGCACTCTTAAAACATAAAATAGCATCCTCTATTGGGTTTTAGTGGACACAGGAGGAAGGATTGGCATCTCTTTCCTGTTCTCCAGTCCCTCATCCTTGGTCCTATAACAGATACTCTCATTGTCAGTGATGGACATTCTTGTAAAGGATTCATTCACCATGGTTTTTTCTTCTGAACTTAAGTACTCATTGCTTCCTGACGTTATTAATTTGGTTGAGAGGAAAGCCAAAGAAAAGGCAGAATGTACAGCCTGGCTCCCCAGACTGAGCACAGCACTCACTATTTATGTCTGGCCAGCATAGGACCACTGTCTCTAAGGTTACTGCCTCGTAAGTGGGGCTGACCCACACCTAAATGGCTTATCCACTTTCAGACCAATTAATCTGTAGTTGGGCTGCTTCTTATTGCTTCATTTTCTTTACTTTGTTTATGGAAGCTGTTCACAAAACAGAAGAAGGAATTATAAGCTGAATATACTGGATTGATTTAGTTTCTTCGCTCAAAAGTATGGTACAAAACTAAACTTTTAAAAAATATTCTCATGATTTTTATATCCCCCTTTCTAAGATAATCAGAGAAATATTGTTAAGAAATTCCCTTATATAATCATGCAGAAACATTTATTTAAACTAGTAATAATCAGCAACCAAGATATTTCTTAATCTGTCACTAATAGTTATCATTTTATACCAGAGTCTAATAATCTTTCAAAGGAGTGAAATATTTCTCTATTTACAGGTCAAGGTGGCCATGCATATCTTAAAGAATGGTTGTGGTGGGCCGGACTGTTGTCAAGTATGTATAAGAGAACATTCCAAGAAAATGTAGCTGTATATTAAAATATTTGCATATACTATTAGAACCTCTTATTATTGGAAAATTTAAAAACTAAGTAAATCTTTTGTTTTTTTAATTAACAAAACTCAAAATATATAATATTTAAGCCTGTAAAAGCCATTCAGCAGTTTAATAGCTTATTTACTTTCAATGACAACACTTTTTTTAAACCTATCTGATTAACACGTTTGATATACTTGTGTATTTTTTACCCTGCTCACCTTAAAAAGGTAATTTTGAAAGTGAAAGTTTGTAAAGTCCTGTTTTTAGTTCTTCCCTCTCCATTGGTTCTCATCCAAATTGAAAAAGAGGTATGTATTTGATAAGACCTGATGATCACCTTTAAAAAGTAATTCTTTTTAAAGAAAAAATTATCCTTAAGACACTGAACCTTGATTATTCATTCAACAAATATTTATTGATCATCTCTTATATGCCAGGTATTGTTCTAGATGCTGGAGATACATTAGAGGAAAAATTGAAAAATTCCTATCCCTGTGAAACTTACATTCTAGGTGGGAGACAAACAATAAATGAGATAAATAAGTTAAAGAGAGTGTGTGTGTGCACACTAAGGAGAAGGAGTAAAGTCAGGAAGGGGGGGTATAACATGGAGGATAGATAGGTTTAAAATTTTAGATATGGTGCCAGGGCAAGCTTCACCGAAAAGATAATATGTGAAGAAAAGATATAAAGGAAGTAAGGGATCTGGTCACATAGATATTTGGGTTAAGAACATTTAAAGCTGGTAGAAATAGTAACTGAAGGCCATGAGGTGCAACCATGCCTGACCATGCCTGGCCAACTCCAGGATGGCCCTCGGTTACTCTCACCTCTGTTATATTCACACCTTTGTGTAATCCCCTTTCACACTGAGTTAGTGATCAGTGTGATCAGAGAATGCCGTGGAAGTGATGATGTTGACTTCTGAGATTAAGTCATAGAAGGCATAGCACCTTTTTCCTTGATCGCTTGAATCACTTGCTCTGGGGAAAGCCAGTAATTTGGTGTAGGAAGTACCTGGGCTGACAGGATGGGGTGATGTCATGAATTTGATCTGGATGTGTTAAAGTTAGAAATGCCTGTAAGATATTCAAATAGATGTGTGAAGTTGGTAGTTAGATAGGTCTGGGAATTCTGCAAATGGGTCCAGGCTGGAGATAAAAGTTTGGGATTCACCACTGCTATTTAAAGCCACAAGATTGGACGAGACCATGTAGGAAATGAGAATAGTTATAAAAAGAGGCTCAAGATAGAGACCTGAGAGCATTCCGGGTCTATGTAGAGTGCAGGAGGAGGAGTGGGAAGAAGCTGAAAAGGAGCAGCCAGTGTGGTAGGAGGAGACTGAGGGAGCTTGATATTGTGGGAGCCAAGTGAAGAAAGCATCTGAGGGGCAGAAGGTGCTTGTGTGTGTCAGGTGGTGCTGCTTTAGAGTAGGTGCGATGAGGATTGAAAGTGACCATTGAGTTTAGCAGTGTACAAGTCCTTGGTGACCTTGAGAACAGCAGTTTTGTTATTAAAACTCTTACACAAAACTTTTGAACAAAAAGCAATGTTGGCGTTTATGGTAATGGTGGACTAGGTAATTGAATCAACATTCCTGCTGAAAAAAAGTTAAAAAGCTGGACAAAAGATAAATATCATCCTCTCAAAAGCATCAAACAGTTAACTTGATAGTGAAGACTTACTTGGCCAAGATCAAGGAAAGGATTAGAGTCAGAAGGATAAGCTGCAGATATGAGTATTTATGCCCTGGAGATAATTGGAGACTCAAGAGGAGAGGAGATGGCTGAGAGATAGGGTAAACCTTTGAACTGTGCTAACAAGGGTCAGCGTCTGGTGCTGCCAAGAAGGAGAAACACTACCTGCTCTGGGCTGGTACTGTGGAAAGGCTGCATCTTGGGACTGCACTGGAATCATTTGTGTGCACTGGATAGCCTATAGCCTTGCCCTCTGGCACCTCAGGAGAAAGTAAATGTTCTTTCTTGGAGTTATGTTATCATCTTGACCTTAAATTGTTTCAATAAGTAATTTTTAAAATGTACCCCCGCAAAAAAGTACATTAGATTAAGAAAATTTTACAAAAACAACAGAAAGAAACCTGACCAATTGACTCTCCAGATATTAGAAATATCACAACCATAAAACAGCTGTGCTTATGACAATAAACTGTATTATAACAATGTTACAAATTTGGAAAAGAACTAGAAAATAATTATAAAATTAAAAAATGCATAAACAAAAATTGAATGCATTAGTTTAATACAGTAGCTTAGGTGTGGTTGAAGAGAGACAGTGAATTGAAGGTAGTTTGGAAGAAATCTAGAATGAAGCAAGCAGAGACAAAAGGATAGAGAATACAGGTAAGAGGATTATGGAAAGAATAAAGTTAAGAGGATATGGAGGGACAGACAGAAGCAATGTTTGAAGAGGAAATGGCCGAGAATTTTCTAGAACTAACCAAAATTATGAAACACAGATTCAAGAAGCCCAGTCAGACCTACCCAGAATCTGTGAAAGGAAAACTGGACCTAAACACACCATAGTAAAATTGATGAAAACCAGAGACAGAATAACTTAAAAGCAGTTAGAGAAAAATTTGTTACCTCAAAGGGGTAACAAATTGAAAGCTGAGTTTTCAGCAACATTGGAAGTAGAAAACAGTAGGAAATACATTCTCAAAGTGCAACAAACATGTTTTGGACAAACTAAAACTTACAGTGTAACTATACTACAGCAGATTTAAAAGCATATTTAGTTAGCAGAAGGAAGTTGATACAGATAGGAGTTTAGAGATACAGGAAGAGACTGGTGAGTATGTGAGTACATCTGAGTGATTGCTGATGAATACAAATAATAAAAATGGCTCATGGATTTCAAATATCCATACACAAAATTTAAAAACACAACAATTAAAATAAGTTGGGAAGGACAAAATGGATTAAAGGGTTTTAAGTTTCTGGTATTGTCTGGAAGGAGAGCAAGGCTAAACATTAACATTAGACAGGTTAGGATGCATGTTGTAATGTCTAGGGTATCTCATAAATAGATCGAGTATTCAGCTTTCTAATTAATGGAAGAAAGAATGGAATGATAAAGTTTTTTTTAAAGCAAGAAAGATGAAGAAGAAGAACATGGTCTAGGCAAGACTAATAGTACATAAGAAAATGGAAGTAGTCAGGCAAAATCCAGAAAGAGACTTGCTTTAAGCTTTTTTTTTTTTTTTTGTCCTCTTTGAGACCTGCCGCACCGCGCTCAGCCAGTGAGCACTGTGAGCGCACCGGTCATCCCTATAGAGGATCCGAACCCGTGGTGGGAGCGCTGCTGCACTCCCAGCACCGCACTCTCCCGAGTGCGCCACGGGCTCGGCCCATTTTTTTTTTTTTTCCTTTTTAAGGAAGTCAATGTCATGCATAAATAGGATTGCAAGACTATTGTAGGTAAAAAGATGTTTGAGGCATTACAGCCAAATTCCTTGATTGAATTCTAGTAGGGGGAGAAGGTCTGCCCACTGACTGACCGAGCGCCAGAGAGGCCTGCCCATCAACCAAGCAGGAGCTATGGTAGCTTACCGCATACTCAACTGCACTGATACAAGAAGAGTCGCCAGCAGAACCTACAAATAGAGGAGGAAGTCTTTTCCCTCATAGCACACTGCAGAGTAACAGAAGAAACAGGTGTCCTACAAGATGACCAAATGTCAGTGAAAAAACACAAGAACTACAGATAAACAGGAAGGTTTGACACCACTGAAGGAATATGGTAATTCTCAAGTACTAGATTCACTAGAGCAGGAAACCCTTGAGATGTCTGAAAAGGAATTCTGAGCACTGATCTTAAGAAAACTCAGAGAGAAGAATCAATTAGAGAACACAATGAAATAAGAAAAAATATCTAAGATATGAAGGAGGAAATTTGCAAAGAGATTAATACCTTAAAAAAGAATGTAACAGAAATCCTAGAACTGAAGGATTCACTCAGTGAAGTAAAAAACAGAACACAGCTTGAGCAGCAGGCTAGAGCAAGCAGAAGAATTTCAGACCTCAAACATGGTCCTTTTGAAATAACCGAGGCAGACCAAAACAAGGAGAAAAGAATTTTTAAAAATGAAGAAAATCTAAGAGAGCTAGCAGACAACCTCAAGTGCACAAACATCTGAATCATGGGTATTCCAGAAGGGAAGGAGAAAGGAAAAGGCTTTGACCCTATTCAAAGAAATAATAACAGAGAATTTCCCAGGTATAGGGAGAGATGCAGACCTTCAGATCCAGGGAGCCCATGATTCCCAAACAGATTCAGTCCAAAAAGATCCTCTCCAAGACACAGTGTAGTCTAACTGGCAGAGCTCAAAGAGAGAATTCTAAAATTAGCAAGAGAAAAGCATCAAGTCAACTATAAGGGAACCCCCATCAGACTAACAGTAGACTTCTCAACAGAAACCTTACAGGCTAGAAGAAAATGGGGTGATATATTCAAAATACTAAAAGATAAAAACTGCCAGCCAAAAATTCTATACCAAGCAAGATTGTGTTTCAGAAATGAGGGAGAAATAATGTATTTCCCAGACAAACAAAAATTATGGAAGTTCACTACCACATGACCAGCCCTGCAAGAAATACTCAAAGGAGTCCTGCCTCCAGAATCTGAAAAATTATAATCAGTGTTGCAGATTTGTAAGAGCAAAACCCACTGTTAAAACCAAAATGTAACAAGAAAGAGAAAGAAGCTATATCGTGTCACCTCAAAAATCCAATTAACATTGAAGATGAAAAATAAAAGTGGAAGTAAGGAAAAGATGATATAAAATATCAATACAAAAAGCAATATAATGACAGGAGTAAAGCAAACCTATCAATAACAACCCTAAATGTAAATGGGTTAAACTCCCCATTCAAAAGACACAGACTAATTGGATTAAAAAGCTAGACCCAGCTATATACTGTCTTCAGGAGACCCAC